AGTATTTGCGTTGTGTATGCATTAGGCTCAATATGAGTATTTGCATGTGTGTGTGTGTTATATATACATTTGCGTGTCCATATGTATGTGCATCTATATGCACGTATATTTTTGCGTGTGGGTTTGTATGGGCGCGCCTAGGTTTGTACGTACGTGCGTGTATGTTTACGCGTTGTGTGTGGATATTTTTAAACACTGCGTTTTAATGTATGAGTTGCGTGCTTTATAACAAAAACTCTCTGGTGAGCGTATTTATTGGACGCTATGCATAGGGCACTGCACAAATGACATTATTATTATTATTCTCAGCGCACATAAATGAACATACATATATATAATAATATCACATCACATAAGTTGCATGCAAACTTCAAAGACATTGTCCTCAATATTTTAAACATTAAAAGTTGTATGTAAGCATGCTGACAAGCAGACGCCATGCAAGTGATGCGTATAAGTTACACCTCTGCATTATTAACATGACGCGGATCTGTTTGACAAAGCTTATTTTGTTGTTAGAAATTTAATTCTCCGAGAACGCTTGCGCTTCCTGTTTCAGACGAATAATTTGCAATCTGTTTATGCGTGCTGTAATTTTTTTAATGGGATGGACCGATGCCAGAGATTTTAACGGCTTTTTCTGCTACTCGATGGCAAGGAGCCACGCCCATCTACTAGTCTACAGTTAAAAAATAAAAAAAAATCTCTTTCGTATATTTATTTAAAGATAAAACTAACTAAACGTATAAATTTATTCAATTACATACAAATAAAAAATTATTAATTTTATTTTTGCACTGGTTTACATCTGGGCTGTTTTGTGTATGTAATAAATATTGATAATTAACGTGTGCTTGCAAATGCTTGCAAACGTATATACGAACGTTATCCGCGATGAAACATTCCAGCATTTAAAATCCCGCCCACATGCAACATACATTACACATTCACACGTCTACATTAATAAACACAACACACATACTTACACACACACATACACTTACACATGCACGAAACGTTATTTCAATATTTGAGTTGGAAATCCTCTCTCGTTCAAAGGTTTCCACTCATTTTTTAAAAAATCACTGTCACAATCAACCAACTCTGTCTCGTGTTTCAACTGTATGATTTCGATACAACCCTCATCAATGCGACACAAAAACGTTTTGTTTAGAGTTAGGCTCATCCATCAAACACCCAAGGCCCGTCTACCTGTCAACATATCGTGTGCTATTCATCGATGAACACTGACTCCCACATCTCACCCACGTAAACACTGAAACACGAGAGAGCCCATGGCAGTCCATCTAACAAATTGCGCCTCAAACAATGCACAAGTAATAAATAAATATTATTGAGAAGATTTCTACAAACAACAGCTTACACTTGAGTAGATAGATATATATGAACAAATATATCTGTCGGTGAATTTGCAGATGCATAAATAACAAGCGAAATAGACGCCAGGGAATGTAGTAGTGGGACTAACCCTTTCAGTTCTAACCAACAATTTTGCCGCAAATCGACTAAAATTCAAACGCAAACAAAAACTTTTACTGGGCCAAATTGCGGTAATGAATTGTTTGACGTGTTTGTGTGTTGTTTCGCTGCTAATTTCAAAACAGAAACCTAATATCGACAAGTGAAAATAGATTATTTTATTTTAATTCACTTAACATAAAACTTTACTTAACAGAAAAATGTAGAGGCGATAAAAAAAAGCAGTAACTAATAACATTCACACATAATAGCTAATTAGATGGTGAGAAATAGTGTAATGATTAAAGGAGCCTGGTCAAGCTTTGCAGAACTGGGTTCGATTGCTGAGTGGTTCTTACTTATCATACGCAATGTGTCTGTACATTACGTTGATTCAGGCGCATCGAGATACATTTTTTGGGTTGATGTGTATGTACACGCAAATTTGTTTACACACGTGTAAGTGTTTTTGTATCTGAGTGTTTGTGTGCGAACATTTGTATGTATATATTTGTTTGCGAGTGTTTATGTGTGAATGTTTAGATGTGGAATGTTCATAATAGGTAGATTTATGTTGCAAAAAATATATGTTTCAAACGTTGTGTGTGGCTTTTGTTTGCGCTTCATTGTTTCGCTTTATGAGCTTCGAAACTGAATCTAAATGAATTAATTTTAATGATTGATGGATGGAGCGGATAAATGAACAATGACAATATCAAAATGCTGTAGATGAACGATTTGATTGATGGATGGATGGATGGATAGATGGATGGATGGATGGATTGATTGATGGATGGATTGATTGATTGATTGATTGATTGATTGATTGATTGATTGATTGATTGATTGATTGATAGATGGATGCTAGTGGATTGTCGGATGATTCTGGGATAATTGGATGTATTCGAGTATTAATGTGTGGAATGATAATGTTATGCTGACCGAGTGAACGTCATAATGTTGACTGATGCGTTGGACGATGTGAAGATTCAATTTGTGAATTTTTAGGTTAGAAAACGAATTTATATGGAAATTGATGAGTGAACTGATGAGTGAATTGATGAATGAATGAATTTATCAATTGATGGATGAATTGATGAATGAATGTTTTCAATAAAGCTTCAAAAGAATTGAAAAATAGTTTACGTAAAAGCTAATAAAAAGATGAATTGAGCACAAGATGAATGAAATAAAAATCATGAAATGTGATTCAATGAACGAATGGAAGCTGATAGAAAAAAGATTGAATGAACGAACGAACGAAAGAATGAATGAATAAAGAAATGAAAAAATAAATTATCAAATGTATCAATGAGTGAATAACTGAATAAATGATAAAAAAATTAATTAATGTTCAGTTAGTGAATTTCAGAAAAGTTAAAAAATAATGAAAACTTAAACAAACTTAACTCGATTAAATTAAGCAAAACGCAAATGAATCTGTTTAAATTCAAAGTTAAAATGGGAGCAGAGAATAAAAATTGCCACATTGAAACAAACATTAGTGTGGGGGGGGGCAGGAGTTTTGCACCACACCAGCATGCAGAATGAAGGCCATCATCGCAAATAAAATGGAATGGAGTCGCAATTAGTTACACGACATGTCCTTCCATTTTAAAATTCCTTCAAGATGGTTTTAGTTGGGTTTAGGAAAAAAAAGAAAAAGCAAATATTAGTTTACGTTTCCATGGAAGTGCATCTGGAGCGTCACATGAAGAAAGAAATGTCCTATTTCTTTATTTGCAAACGCATTAGAAGCGCTCGACCCGCGCCACACTATCAATCTTTGTAGCTTCCTTTCCTACATTAATAAACATTAAGCAATGCTATTTATTCTTTTTTTTCGTTTGATTGATCATTCAAAATTTTGCTCGTTTTCCGTGTATTTCATCTCATTTTTTTCTAAATAATTAATAAGTGTTACAAATTCCAAATTTTCAAACCATTTTTTAAAAATCTAAAAAACCATTTAACAACTTTTCAGCTCAAAAAAAATTGCAAAAATAATTTTTTAAAAATGCGATAAGCTAGAGATCTTGATTGACACATGTGGGCAGCGATGTGTGCAAGTTTGTTGAGAGTCCGTGTCGTAGGCAGATGTGCGACCGACCACCCACTCTGTGACGCAACCATCAATGTCTAACATGCAACATGCAGCAAACATCACAGACTAATACGCAATATGCAACAAACATCAATGACTAACACGCAACATGCAACAAACATCAATAGCTAACAAGCAACGGACATCAATAACCTACGTGCAACAAGCAACAACAATCATACGCAACGACGAAACGTGCTAATTAGTATGCCGGGATGAGAGATTGAAAATAATTAAGGTGATACAATTATTAGGTGCTCTGATGCTATAACAACATTAATAATGACAATATGAAATGTACATGTACACTGTGTAATAAAAGTAAAAATAATAATAATATTTCTCAGAATTAAAAATCCCAATACTAATGATGAAACTATCATATAACGAAAATTGTGTATATGTTAGTTTGGTTGGAGTGCAAGTTACAAAGGGAAAAAATCAACTGCCACCAGCTCGTCAGCATAAAATCGCAGTCTCATACAACAAATACTGACTTATGGCATTAACGTTGCTAGTGACATTAATGAAATTGCATCAATAAATAATACATTTAGTCGATTTCAAGTCAACAAACTGGTAAGTTATGCTAAGATATTAAATAATAATAAAAATAATAAAAATAAGAATAAGAATAACATTTATCGTTGGCAGAGACAGACATTGAGTATAAAAGAGGCGACCAACATAACATCTACATAATAATAAGAGAGAGGAGAAAGCAATGCGGTCGTCATCGTCCTTCCTCATTCCTATTACCCACACCACCCTAATCATTTTATTATTATTTTTATTGTTGTTGCAATTATTATAATTATTTTTGTGATTATTTTATTATTTTTATTATTATCATTTCGTATTTATGCATATTATCGTGCCATCATTTCATCGGTTTAATTTTTATCAGCGTGTTATCGAAAGCCTTTATCAAATACACTGTCATCATCGTCATTGTGATCCATATCGTTATTATGTTTCCTTTGTTTTTACCATCGTTGTCATATCACCGCCTACATAAACATCATCTTGGCCTTCATCATCATCTTGATGTTTTTTCAAGTAAAATGTTTCGTGCCATTATTTCAAATCTTACTGTATAAAAGTTTAATAAATGAACATTAAATCATAGACAAATGCAAGCACCGCATAGGCAAGTGTAAAACCATGAGCAAAATATTCAACTAAAATACAACAACATTAGCCGCTACAATATTTGCAAAGGCAAACACATGCAAAAAACAACGACAAAACAACAACAACAATAACCCAAGCAACAACATCAGCAACAACATCAGCAACAACATCAGCAACTACACCAGCAACAGCATACAACAACATCAGAGTTAGAAGTTCGTACGGTAGAAGATAATCTATCACAGACGATCAAAGGACTGTCATCATTATAAAAATCAACAAC